GATTTGGCACACAGCCATGTGGTAGTACTTAATATTTAAAATTCTCATCATAATCCATCATAGGGTGTCATTTGTTTCACATCTATCTTTTGGCTCTGGATGTCTCTGTATCCCTTTTACTTCTACTTTATGGGCTTTATCTCACTCATGTCTCCCGTCCCCCCACAGACTCGGATTGCTGACTGGAGAGAGGGCGCTCTGAACGGGGTCTATCTTCGTCGCCGGCTTCAGGAAGCAGCCGAACACATAAAATATTACGAACTTAACGCCACTCCTAAAGGCTGGTCCTGCCACTGGGACAGGTACGCGCTCCTTACCTTTCACATCTCTAAACTCCCTCGTCCCCCCAAAAAACGTACCGTGTGACTACACCCTTCTCAGTGCCGAGGTTGCAGACTTTGTTTCATGACTTGGGGAGAAGCTTAACCAGTCTGGGAGGATCAGAATACTTGCCAGAAACAGACTCTGCAGGTTTCTGTGATGCAATCCTGGCTCTCTGCCTTGCACATACTGATAAGGGAGCATCCACTCTGGGCCGGCCTGCTTCCTGTTAAATATTCCTGCCACCAAAAACTCCCTGTCCCCATAACACAGACTCTTACGCCCTTTGTTGTCAGGGCCTTTGTAGACTGATTATGGGTCCAGTCAGTGAAAAATTTGGGAGGGAGGGGGGGTATGGTAAGAAGGTTGGTTTTGTGGGAGAGCTTTGCACTTTACAGGACTACAACACCCAGAATGCAATGCAGACAGTGATGCCCTGGAAGCGAGGAGTGTCACGCATCAAATAAAAGGTGAAGATGGAGCAATGACGGGAACCCAGCAGGTCAGACCTACTCTATTTCATATGTCTTCCTGTTTTATTTTTTTTCTTTCTGATGTAAAATGAGTCGAGTGTGTGCTTGTAATTTTTGACCCATGCTTGTTGTTGATGATGATGGTGGTGTTTCCTCTCTGGCGTCTTCCTGTGTCTGGGAGGTAATGGTTGTCTAAAACGGAACAAATGTGACAACCATGGTGTGAGCTGCTGAATGCTACTTTCAGGACCTAGAGATGATTTGTTTTGCTTTCTTTGTTTTTGAGAGCAAAGGTGGGTTCCCTATCCACAGCCATGACCACACTCTAATTGGGCCCTTCTTTTGGACAGCTTAAAGTCGCTGTCCATACCAACACTCCTGCCCCCTTACCGTGGCCGCTATGTCCACTCCCTCGCCCCACTGTCCCAGGGTATCCTGCCACTCATCCAGTTACTAGGACAGTCGTTGAGACTCTTGCCTTCTATCTCTGTTGTCCCACTCTTTAGAGAGCACAGGCGGTATTTCTATGTGAACGACCGGACCAGTGCCTCCCAGTGGGATTTTCCAAAAGAGGACACCAAGGAGGAAGACCCGAAAGGCTGCCAAGGCACACAGACTTCCAGTCAAGGGGACACCAAAGCGTTGTCTGAATCTGCTTGTGGCGTCTCAGGTCAGTCTTTTTCTGCTGTGTCGTCTTTAGTGACTTCAGAAAAATGGTGTATTAATCTTCCTGTAAGTGTTTTTCCTATCGAACATATGCCTGGATAATGAATATTGCGTTGCTGTTTTAAGTGCATACTATGTGACGAGGCTATCCACGCTTCACCCCATGGTTTTACAAAGTTTTTTTTCTTTTTCTTTTTTTTAACAGGATCTATTGCCCCGGCTGCCCCACCAGCGCCTCCTCAGCCCAGTGCATCATCTGTCTGGTCCCCACCTCCACCTCCTCTTCCAGACAGCCCACCTCCGCCTTCCAACAACCCCCCGCCTCCGCCTCTCCCCCCAGGCTCACCACCTCCACCTCCTCCTCCCCCTGACAGCGATGGAGAGATCATGGAGGTAGAGATGGAAATGGATGATGAGAACGACGGTGAGCCTCCTGCTCCAGGGACGGAGGAAGATGGCTCTGGGAGGCCTCCTTTACCTCCAGGCACGGCTAGCGTCAAGGTGTGGGAGTAATCCAAGTTCATTTAGAGAACTCCAGGTCATTTTGTACACGATAATGCTATATGATTATATTCAGAATAAGGGAAGACTTCCGCTTTTAACCTGCATCATATTTTGTCACACACAGATTGTGGAGTCGCCGGGCCTCTTGGGGAAGGCTCAGAAACGTAAAGCCAGCCAGCTGAGTAAAACTATTGGCAGTAGTGCCATTCTCTACACCCAGCCTGCTTTTAGTGCAGGTAAACAGATCACAACCCAGCATCTGCTGTTAAACTATGTATTGGGCATTTTTCCCCAACACAGTTACCTGTCTGATCAGCATTATTACACATCCCCTGAAACAAGACTAGAGCCCTGTTTACTCAGTGACGGTTTCTCTTTGTGCAGCTCCTCTCATGTCTCCAGCTGCTTACTGGGGCGTGCCAGCTGTCCCTGCTCCCTTGGTTCCTTGTGAACCTCCTGTCCCACCTGTCCCAGCCCTACCTCCTCAGCCACCACTGCCACCATCCCAGCCGCCCTCTGAACCTCCTGGAGCCAAGGTTCCTCCCACGGACAAGACCAAGAAAGTGAAAAAGGATAAGGTCAGTGTTGGAGTTAACGGTTTACATCAATTGTCAAAGGAGGGCAGAAAACAACCCAATTACATACAAAAGCACAGTACAAACTTAATACTATACCAATGTGTCCACAGCTGGGATAGGTAGCTTGTAGCACTTGACCTCCTATTAGTTAAGCCCAAGAGGATTTTGTTATCAGTCATGAAGTCAGCCGATCCATTTGTACATGAGATTTCATGCTTCAACAGCTTCTAGAGTATTGACTCCTGCAGCAACAAACATTTGACTTGCACTGCACCATCGAGGGACAGATCATGACGGCACTCTTTCTGCCATTGTATTTGGTGTCATGTGTTTCCACATCATACACAGAACGCAATGTAAGGAGCTGCTGGAGACGGTCTCAGGACCACAAGATCATCTGCGTTTATAATATGGTTCACTAGAGTACCACCAGTCATGCACCTGATGGTACAGGCTTTTATTAGCTCGGACAGATTTTTAAATACATGGATTATAAGGAACTGGGGCCAAAATACCCTCTTGTCTAATACTTTTGCTAACCCCAAAAGGGCCTGTGACCCTGTTGGCCCATTTTACTCCTACAGTCTGGTGGTCATGACAGTAAGGTAGGATTCACACGATGTATTTGAGCGTCCCTCTGACTCAATGCAACAAACTGATTATTTCAGGAGTTAATCATACCATTTCATCTGTCCAGCATCATTCTTTATTGGCTAAAGCTATGTGCCTGTAGTTATCTAGGCTGCCAACTTTTCCAGCTTCGTCCTTGATGACTGGCACTAACAGACAACACCGAGTCTGCTAGTCAGCCATGACTCATGAAGGCAGTAAATGGCAAGGAGAGAAGCTATCCTCATGCTGGCATGTTTACGGCAAGGAGAGAAGCTATCCTCATGCTGGCATGTTTACGATGTTCAGCAGAAATGTGGTCTAAACGACTTTGCTTTATCAGACCGCTTGTTTACAGCTTGGTACACAACATGTGACATAATCACCAGTGAAACATTACAATCAATATTGTCCACGTTACACAAATCACTTTGGACACAGTTGAATAAAATTCTTATAATGCTTTCGCCATAAGTCCAGACATTGATGTCCAGTATTGTCTTTCTTTCGATTGTAAACCGTATGGGTTGATTTTCTTTGCTTGGATTGTTTCTAAAGTCTTCACAGTCGAGCCATCTTTGTAATCCAATGCTAAAACAATCGCATAAGAAGAACCTTCATTGTGTTTTGTCTCTTCCTATGTCTCTATAGTCAAAGAAGAGTAAGATCAAAATGCCATCTCTGGTGATGAAGTGGCAGAGCATCCAGAAGGAGTTGGACGAAGAAGAAAAAAGCAGCTCCAGTGACGAGGACCGAGATCAGCTGAACAAGAAGAGTATTGAGGACTGGAAGCATCAGCAGTTCAGCACGTACGTTTATGTTTGAACAGAGTAACATTTTTAAAGGTTATGATGGTTGTTTAACTATGTAGCTCCATTGACTTCTTGGAGTTTCTTCTATTTTTCCATGGTGATGACTCTTCATTAACTGTTTTTAATTCTACAGAGGAAAAGCTTCAAAGAATGCCAATTTTGAGCACCTGCCCGATAACTGGCGGGACCGTCTGAAGAAGAAACGGAAGACGGCAAATAACACGTAACATCCAACCTGGGTCATATGTTGCCCAGTGACTATTTTTTATTTTTTTACTCTGCTCCAACCATGACCTTCTTACCCCAGATTACAGTTTTTGTTTAATGATCTATGGACTTTCTTTACCATTTAACTTGTCAACCATGGAGACATTTGAGGGGGGTTTGAACATCCATTTCATGGTTTTGTAGCCACTATTGTAAATGTGCCAAAAATCTTGGGTTCATCAGAAATACTTCACGTCATAGATGACCTCCACAGTTTGTTCGGAGGGATTGTCTATTTTACTGAGAATTTATACAACCGTGTTCATGTCATGTATGATGGGATAAGCCAAGTGTTTGGAAGGGGAGGGAGGGTCACTGAACTTGTACATTTTGTAAAAAGTTATTAAACTGTTTTTTTCCATTTTTTTTTTTTGGTCATTTGTAATGCTATGTATTTTTATTATGGCTTGACGACAAAGAGTTTCTAATAGACTATAAACTGTTTATTTTATTTTAAAGTCACAAGTAGCAGTAGTACTGTAGTTTTATCATAATATATGCATAATCTTTAACGCCATCCGTCCATATAATTGATGTATAAAGAGAGATGCACAGATATACTTTGTGAAGCATTTCCTTCACGTTGGTGCTAGAATATATAGAATATAGTACTGTACAGGGACCATTTATTTATATACAGTATATATTATGTATATTTTTTTTATATATACTATAAAGTGTATATATATACGGTATAATATATACCGTATATTATCTATAGAGGGACCATCATATATATTTACTATAGTGTATATATTTACTACATACTATACATGTATATAATTAGAGGACCTCCTATTATAGCGTCAACCCAGTCTCAATGGTAACGCATCTCCGTGGCAACTGCGGTGTTGTCGAGACGATCGGTTGCTGGCAACATCGCGTGCTTCGGGAGAAAGTCTTCCACTCGAAGCAGCCGCACAGTTTGCTTATGGCTCTGATGAGTATAGAAGAGTTTGGCTATTGAAATATGAGCGAGGTAAGTGGCTGTCAGACATGCATAAATATGTAACACAATATAACGATAACGCTAGAAGCTAAAGAAGTGTTAGCAACAGGGCAGGCATGGGTCATCAGTGAGGTAGTGGCGACAAGGCCCCTCAAAGTGTGACGTAACTTGCTGTGTTCATGCCGAAATAGACAATGTTAACGTTAACACGTGAGCTACAGATGCATGTCATCATTGGCCAATGTCAGGTTGAAAATGTATCCGTTCATCATTGGTTTGTTTGATCTTTATTTTGTATGCCACTTAAATAATGTTCAAATTAGCAACAGTTCCATTCTCCCCCAGAGGTGTCACACCATAGGATAGGCATGTTCTACATAGCTTGATTTGTTATTAGATGAATATCATTTGTAACATTGATGACTTAAATTTCTCCAATCAGGCAGAGAAAACTCCAACCTTGGCTGCTATCAGGAGTTGGTGGAACACCCACCAGTTGGACAAATCGGGCATCAATGCCTCCAACACAGAGGAAGACGAGGAGGAATCAGCAGGAAGGAGGCCGTGTAAGCTGTTTTCACTGCATTTGGATAACATATGCATGTGTAGCCTACTGTATATACTTGCTGAAATGAGAATTTAAATTGTTAATGTAACTTCACCGCAAAGAGTCGACTTGTTGCTGTTCAACCTAATGTGACACCACCGTCTAATGTTTGATGTGGAGTGGGAATCCTTCTATTGACTGTCATGTGAAGACTTGGGTTTTCCTGTTATGAAAGAGATGTGGACAAAACTTCTCTAATGCTACATCATTATATATTAATTGAGATCTTTTGTGAATGACATAATTAAAGCAATCAGGTGCAGCATAATGCTTTCTTAAATGAACAAGCTTGTTTGGTCAAGGTGAGGTAAGGTGGCATACCGGATGAACAATGTATAGAGCACCACTGGAAGAACGGGAGCATGAAAGAGCAGTCACTGAAGGTGTGATTCATGTCTGCACTCAGTACCTATAGACCTCAGTCAGACTCTGCGGACCAGGCAGCTTCTCATAGACTTTGATGGTGGCCGACCTATTTTGAGTCTCAGGGCTCCGCTGGACCTGGTTAACTTCCCGTCTACATCCTGCCCCCGTTGGCCCATAGAGTGTGAGGTCATCGGCGACATCATCCATCACATAGGTAATTACACATTTTAATGAAACCATTATGTTATTAGGTATGTTACTGATATGATCAAATATTTATTAAGGATGTTAATCAGCCCAAGAGCAGGCAATGAGTCAACATTGGGATCAGATGCTCCAGTCTTAAGTAAACAAGTAACACATCAATGAATTAAACCGTGTTGAATCTGGCATGCTGTTTTGCTGTTACTGTCGACGCATAATGACACCAAGAGAGTATGTGTTGTAGAGTGGGACCCCCCAGAGCCAGAGCCTTTCTACCAGCACACAGGACATGAGAGGACCCCCATGCCAGCAGGAGAGGAGAGGGGGAAAGTGGTATACTGCATTGACCAAGGTAACGTATGACACCAAAGACATGTTTTGTTGTTGTGCAGGTTGGTGCATTATATCTTCACAGTGTTGTTGACAAATTCTTCTGAACATGAGATAATGATAGGAACCTATTACTTTGAGTTACTTCATGCTTTAATTTAAAGGCATCTTACTGTACAATTTGTATACTAGTGAGGCCATCCTAACTCCTTAATGCTTCAAGATTTGTATTTCATATTGATGTTATAATTTAAGTGCTGTATAACAATATACAAGCCTTGCTTACTGTATAATATACATAGGTAGTTTAAGTGTCTTCCCTCAGCAGTGTTATCTTAGATATTAACAATTAGTCATTTTCTAGATACACATGATTTACTCCGCCACTGCTCTCTGAAAAGGTCCATGTTTACTGACAGCTTTAACACATTAGGCTGTTGATATTCAATGTTCTCATGTTGTTCTCACTCCATTAAGCCACTAAGCGTCCCTATTTCACCCGCTCCCATGTCGGAGGAAGCAGGGGGCCCATTAACAGCGCCACTTCTTTTGAAAAGCAGACGGACTTCACCCTTGAGTTTGAGTCCCGCTTTGAGAGTGGGAACCTTCAGAAGGCTGTGCAAGTGTGAGTGTCTGCAGCCTAACGTACCAAATAGTTGCTGCAGCTTTTCAACCATTTGTGTACATTTTATCCCTGTTAGTTCTGAGGTTAAGGTACTGTCTCCCTTTCTCCCCCCCCCCCATATGTATTCCCTGTTCAGGAGTGTCTATGACTATGAGCTCACCCTGCGCACAGACATGTACACCAGAAAGCACACGCAGTGGTTTTATTTCAGGGTCAGGAACATGAAGGCTGGAGTGACCTACCGCTTCACTATCGTCAACTTGATAAAGAGCAGCAGCCTGTATTCTCATGGTATGAGACCACTCCTCTACTCTGAGAGGGCCAACGAGAAAGGTGTTGGATGGCAACGCACCGGCTCCAACATCAGACACTACCGCAACCGCAATCGGGTGGGTGAACTATCTGACAGGCTGGAACATTCAAAGATGGAGTCTCGACCAGCTTTTGTCAGTAAACTGTAATTTACTAGCACGTTTTGTACTTTTCCAGCAGCTGTCATTTTAAGTTTATATGAGTATAGAATGAACTAGATTTTAAACTTGGTTTAAATAGGTCATCATTTGAACTTCTGTGGTGTGTCATGTTGCACAAGAAAAAAATGCACAAAAGAACAGGACCTCGCTAAAAAAACATTATTTCTGTCTCTCTTCAGAACACAAATCACAACAGCAGCGACACAATCGCCTTCTACTCACTTACGTGGACTCTCCAGTTCCCTTATGACTCAGACACCTGCTACCTGGCCCACTGCTACCCCTACACCTATTCCCACCTGCAGCGCTACCTGCGGCGCATTTCTTCCAACTCAGCAGTGGGGTCATACTGTACACTGCGGGTGCTGTGCCACAGCCTCGCTGGGAACGCTGTGTATGTGCTGACGATATCGTCCCGGGGGGGCGGCAGGGTGGAGGGGAGGACCAAAAAGGCTGTGGTGGTGACGGCCCGAGTGCACCCCGGAGAAACCAATGGATCCTGGATGATGGAGGGGTTCCTGGACTTCCTGCTCGGGGACTCAGAAGACGCTCAGCTACTGAGGGACACTTTTGTCTTCAAGGTGAGGGACCTCGAGCTCAGAGTCTCTCATCTGTCTCATTATCAAGATCATTACTTCATTACAGTTATTTGTTATGACTGAATAGCAATTTATGAAGTTGATGGTGTATGAGTAGAATGATGAGGTTGTCTTGCCATTCATGATATGTTTTAATGCTATATACTGTGATCAAACACAGTCTCACTTTGATTTATGGGCCTGCAGGTGGTGCCAATGCTGAACCCAGATGGTGTCATAGTGGGTAATTACCGCTGCTCTCTGGCAGGCAGGGATCTCAACAGGAACTACAAGACATTGCTCAGGGATTCCTTCCCCTGTGTGTGGCACACCCGAAACATGGTGGAAAGGTACGACAGTACACATGCATAAACAAACAAATTATAACACTTACTACATATCAAAGAACTTGTACTCCATGTACATTCTGCATTTGGTAGAAATTCAAGAGACAGCTAGTGGGATTACCGACAGTGGCAATCCTTTGGCAAGCGTCAGTCAGGTGTCAGGACAGCGGTTAGCGAGCGGCACTCGTTCGGCACCCGTCAAGAAGCTGCCGAGCTGAGCGAGCGGGGCCACGATTAAATATGAATGTGTCTTTATATCTATTAAATGCAGGTCAGATGTTACAAAGGCTAGTTTAGTTATTACTTTTAAGCACACATAGAACACAAAATAATCTGTTCTTCCCCTTTTTGTCAGTGGGTGGCCAGTTGTGTTGTTTGGGACTGTAGCTTCTGGCAGACTGGATCCTGAGTGAACATTTTAGAATAAAATAAACAGACTAAATTAAAACGAATTGATTCACAGATTGTGTTATTTAGTTTGCATTTACTCCCTAACTTTAAGGCAGAAAGCGGTCCAGCTGTTGAATTGCTTGATTGGTCTTTCACTGAACTTTATCTGTACAAAAAGGCAGATTTCCTTCGGATTCGTAAAAAATTCAATTGACTCCTATGTAACTTTATTTCTTCAGCATTTCTGCCTTCATTACATTCTTGTCAGTAGCGACAGTAAGGAAAGATGACAAAGAGAGGCAGAGATGCAACAGATGTCAGCTGCTGATTAAACCAGCGTCTTTGATACATACAGTGTATAACAAACGTTAACTTTTAACCCTGTGAGATCTATTCTGGCCGTGTTATGATATATATTTTGTTCCCAGGCTGATGGCTGAGACTGATGTAGCTCTTTACTGTGACTTTCATGGCCACAACCGTAAAAACAACGTCTTCATGTACGGTTGTAACAATCGACGTGACGCTTCGCTGAAGCTTCACGAGAGAATCTTTCCACTAATGATGAGCAAGAATGCCAGCAGTAAGGTAAAGACACTGTTTTTGAAGACTCTTTCAAACCTTCTATTTACATCACGACATCATGCTTATTCAGCAGTCACCAACGTGTCACACAGCACCACCCTTAACAGTATGTGAAACACTTCATATTGCTTCTTTCTTCGTATTCATTTGTGCGTACTCAACATTTCAACTCCAACATGTAAATCACTCGGCATTAGTTCTCCTTTAAGAGTTGTAAGTTTCGGGTGCAGAAGAGCAAAGAGGGAACAGGACGAATCGCCATGTGGAGACTTGGCATCAAGAACAGCTACACAATGGAGGCCACCTTTGGAGGCTCCACTCTGGGTGAGTTTAGACTTTCCACATGTGTGTGTGTGTGTGTTCGCATGTTTCTTGTATTAAGTACACGTGTTTGAATATTAGGCGACAGAAGAGGAACACATTTTACTACTCGAGACCTGAAGTCCCTTGGTTTTTACTTCTGTGACACCCTGCTGGACTACTGTGACCCAGATCCAACAAAGGTGAGCGATAAAGAAGCACATCTACAAGTTATATAGGAACCCTTTCATTGAAGAAAGGAACTATTGTATGCATCAAAATATTCTCGGATACTTGTTTTAAAAGATGGAGTTTTGTAATTCCGGTTTATAGATGGTAACATTGTGTGTGTGTGTGTGTTAATGCTTTCTCTGTGCTTTTAATTTCAGACCACCTACTGTCTGACAGAGCTGGCAGCGTTGTTGACAAAGAAGGTCCGAGAGAGGCTGGGCAAAGATTTTGGCACTAACTGCAAGTTCTCTGTGTCTGACCTGGAAACCAGGTGATATAGTCACTTATTACTATTATCATAAACACACACGCAAACCAGAGTCAATGTGGTATTCGTATACAATGTGCTCTCATTCAGCTTGTATGTGAATATTTCTTGTTTGCTTTCACAGCACCAGTGGTTCAAATAGTTCCGATTCTGACGGACTCCCAGCTCATTTACTGAACCAGCTACAAACTGTTCCTCCAGAGGTACACTGACATAAATCTACTCTCCAAAGGAATAGTGTTTTTTTACACGACTGCTTTATTGTTCTCGGAAGGTTAACATCACAATCTGTTTTGAATCATGTCTTCTCTTGTATCAGTTTACCTCATCAGCGACCTTCTCTCCTCCTCAGCAAACTCCAGTGAAGAAGAAAAAGAAACGCTTGAGTCGTAAAGAGAGGAACAGGCTGCGACCAGAGAGGGTGAAGAATAACACACAGCCAAAGGTCCTGCAAAGCAGCATAAAAGATATCGTAAGAGACTAAATGACCGAATAACTAGTTGTCTGGTTTCCTGTTACTGACTTGAAACGAGACTAATCTGTGAACGGTCTTTGCAGGAGTCCAAGCTGCCCCGTGAGGACACAGTTAAAGAGATCGTCCAAGAGAGGCCTGTCGGACAACACAGGAAGAAAGGGCAGGTATGAACAGTGAGAGGGAATGAGTTTAGGAGACAGAGACAGCCAGACAGGGAGGGGAGAGGATTTCCTGACTTGTCCCTTTTCAATATTTCTTTCTTTGTGAAGGCAAATGGCCTGATAAGAAAAGCTGTGATCCCTCCTCCCACCACTCACCCTGTGGAGGTCAGTCAGGTGACTCTGTGGCACGGCTGCAAGCCTGTCAAGATAAACATCACCCTGATTGATCTGCAATTTTGACTTTGTCTTTTTTGCTATTTTCCAATGAGCTATATTCTGTGTTTTAGGATGACGGAAAAATGAATTTTATACATTCCAACCAGCAACATCACCGCTGCACCCGACATCCCTTCGCCTCCTATAAAGTCTACAGAGGTTTGTCCACATGCACAGAAGTTCAAGATGGAACTGAGTTTTTAAAAGAATCGTCATCTCTCAAGTCAATTCAAGTCTGCATAAAAAATTGTCGCTCTTTTGTTGTAAAACTCGTGTTTCTCTTCCAGGGCTGCCACCTTCCCTTACAGCGCCATACAGGTAAGACTCACAGAGACTTTGTGTCCTCGTCTATAGACAGTAGGTTACTACATCAGATGAATGAAGTGTTATGTCTCTTCTTTGTCAGGTTTCCCTCATCCATTTACATGAAGATGGTTCCAGACATTGTTCCGAAGCGTTTGCTGTCAAGTTTCAGCTCTGACACGTTCAACGCTCGTACCTTTAGAGACAGAAACTCCTTACGGGTCTCAGGTTTCTTTGTGCCTGAGGATTCCTCCACCTCACACGGATACATAGCCAAGACCAAACAGCAGAATGAGAAGCAGGAAAAAGATTCCTCAGAAGGTTTCATATGCACACATATTGTACTGATTGAAACTGAAACAATTACTATGAAATTATTTTTTTGTGGCGATCAAGTTGCATGAGAAAGGTGTTTTTCTTTTTTAAAATGTTAATCACTGTTAGCTATTCACACCTCTTCTTGTTTATTAACTGATCTTGTCTATTCAGTGTCACTGTTGAGATGTAAACCACTTGGAGAGCAGAACCTGAGAGACATCCCCCAGAGAGAAAGTGAATCAGAGAGGAATGTATTTGTGCCTGCTCTGAGGGGCTCAGACCTGAGAGGAAAAAGGTAAATTCACTTTTAATCCTCTTGAGCACTCTCTGTCAGTCATTGTCTCTCTGTTAATGCTCAGGTTGCTATTGCAGTTCAACGATTTGGAAATAAGCCCTGATTATAAGAAAAACATTATGCATGGTAACAAATGTTTACGGTGTTTCAAATGTTTTCCTATCCTTTTTCAATTTCCTCAGACTGATCAAACAGACCTTGGAGGACAAAAGGCAGCCGAGGGTTTTATCCCCAGTGTCGATGCCCTCAGGCCTCATGAAGACAGAACTTCCGGACCCACAGAGGGACACCCTTGGTAGGCTTCAGGTTAAGGACACCAGGCACTATTACTCTGGAAGAGAAAGCCAAATAACTAGAGCAGTGGTCACAAGATCGCCACAGTCTGCCCCACTGTAGGGCACCATTTATAATCTGGGAACTACAGATTGGGATTATTCGATCTATTCTCTGGCCAGTGATGTGAACGTCCTCTGATGGATCAAGTGGACTATGAGTTTTGATAGACCTTCAACAGATATGTTGGGATCAAATGACGTTTAATACTCATTCACAGATATCACGACGCAGGTCAAACTCGTGTCGTAGTGAAACCCTCTTAAAAAAATTACAATTTAAATGGCAATCTTTGATGTTTAATCACAAGTCCCTCTTCGATTTTGATACAATTTGTTTTTTATTTTTGCACAATATTTACAGCAATGCTAGTGTTGATGGTGGTACGGACAAGATTTATTGATGACAAACGTGTGGACCTCTTGGTTTCATAGAGTTCATTTATTGCAATGCTACAAAAACATACAATCTCATGGAATATAATGTCAATAAAATATACAAATAAATATGTTCACACGTTTTTTCTTTAATACTCATTCGTGCGGAGGAAATATAAAATGTGCCACATGTAATACAAAAAGACACGCATCATTTGACGACAGAGCTTCAGAATTCAGTCAAACTGTCGGAGATGAAACTGTCTCCCGGTGTGTCTGACCATGTCCCGGAGCGCCACAAAACCAGAGAGGGCCTGAAACATGAAATCAATGACAATCACCAAATGATGAAAACATGCACAACGTGAAATGGTTGAATTACATCAAGTCAGTTTTTAACAGAAATGTTCTCGTATACCTGTGTAAGTATAAATATGGCGAGTACTATGTGAACACCTCTCTCCAGGGGTTGAATGAGGATGGCTTCATTGAAGAGCTGAAACAGGATCAGTGGAAACTGCAGCAGGATGCTCAGCAGCCAAAATCCAGCCAACTCCGGGACCTTACACAAACACAAGTATAACGTGAATTACAATCTCTCGCAATCTTTTTGTGTGCCGTGTCGACACATCGTACTTCAACCGTATCTTTATGTTGCTGTGAGTGATGCGGAACCTTCTCTTGCAGGTTCCCAGCATAACCGAGGAAGAGTCTAATGGCCTCTATCAGAGTCATCAGGAGGAGAACGGTGACCAGGATGAACTTGTAGTAGTCTGGCAGGGCAGGATACTGGTGGAAATGACAATGTCATCAATGCAGTTAAATAAACTGAATTACAATGAATGTGATCCATTCTTATTGGCTTTTATTAAATTATAAAAATTGTATAAATAGCCTATTTTTTTTGTAACTAATACTTTCCTTCTGGCTAGTAAGTTTGGTTACTCTAAATGTCGCACATATTTCAAAAGATGAAATTGCTTGTCTTTGTTCAAACCGAAGTAGCGACACCCGCGTGCATCCGTTTGAGGACTTTTAGCTTTGCACGAGCCACAATGGTCATGTAGTCTAATGAGGGACAAATCTGTTGCAAGTATGACGGGGAACCTACACTTTACGAGTATTTAATAATTGTTCGGATAATTTAACATCAGCAGCATCTTCACCTCCTCTCACGTGCTCCTCACTGTCTCCGTGTGGTTACCTTGAGGTGCAGCATTACAGTCTCACTGATCCACCACAAGGGGAAGAACCACATGTTGAAGTACAGAGACATCTGGAGGTGGAGACTCGACAGGACCCGCTTGTCTGAAAACAAAGCACCATCTACTGTTAAACTATGTTAGAGGTTCCTGTCGCTGGTTAGCTACGTTAACAGCAATGCTACTTCGTCAATAACGTCATAGCTCCACTCGTAGTTTACCGTGTGGCAGAAACGTGTCATTCTCTTCAGTGAAGGGCTGAGTCTGGTCGAATAACACATTCCGAGAAAAGTCGTCTAAACGTCTTCTGATCGCCTCCGGTAGGTCCATGGTTTAACACGCTCTCTGCTGAACACAAACATCACCAGAGGAAGCACATAGCGCCTCTTCCTCACTGCAAACACTGCACGCTGACGTCGTCTCCAGGGATACCTAAAGAAATCTCGCACTCCGCTCAAATCTCGCATGAAAAGCGTCCTCTCGTTTTATCTGTTAGTGCCACAAACGAGCTAACGTGAGCACAAGATGAGGTCATTTAAGCCTTTATGCTTGGGGAAATTCAGATAAATAGAAGTAAAAAAAAGTATATAAAAATATGTAAAGCCAAAATAGAATAAAAGCAAGTATAGAAACTACACATGACCAATTAAATACAAAACCGTGTGTGATTAATCATTAGAAGGCTCTGAAAGGAATGTTAACAGCCTATAACCATATGAGTAATTGATGATCATTAGTAGCCTTTGGAAATCAAATAGAGATATAATGCATTAAAACAGTATATCACTGACATAATATGATATAGTGCATGTGAAATGTAGTATAGTACACTATAATATCATTTTAGGCCTGGCATAGTATAAAGGAGCTATCAAGCCAGCACCCCAGAGATACTATCTCTATCACAAGTATGAGTAGGATAGTAGCTATATGTAGCAGAATAACATATAAATCAGTCCATCAGCCACTGCGTCCACACTGTAAAGCTCCAGCCCGACCACGGACCTGGCCTTTCATGGCATCACAAGCCTGGATGCCACCACGCCTCAGCAATGAACAGATCACTGGTTCATACAGACTGGTAAGAGATCTGCTGGAGCCTGTTGCACACACTGAGGGATCTCAGTCTCACCAGGAAGAACAGTCTGCTCTGCCCCCAGCCCAGTTATCTATTACTTGTGTCCATTGTGTCCTTGTTGTTGTGATGAAGCTTTCTCTTGGGTATAGGCCTGTATACAGTGACCAAGAAACATGTAGAAAGAAGAACAAAGAATAAAATGGATAAATAAACTATGATATGATGACAAAAATTTAGTTTGAGAGTGCAAGCATGCGTGTGTTTGCATGTAAAATTAAAACAGGCTGTACACTAAAAGCAGCTGACTGCGGTCCCCATGAGCCAAAATACATTAAATCCAATCCTACAATTTTCATTTCAATAGAATTAGAAATTATTTCACAGAATTCTTCAAATGCCTTTTTAATTTTTTTTAAAATTAAAGTTTTTAATCCTGCAGACAATTTCACGAGGACAGCAGAACAACTTTTATGCAGAAAGAGGCAAAAATATACATGGCTTTGAATATTACATTGCACACAGCTCCACAAATCAATGAACTGTACCCCAAATATTAATAAACAGCATCCCAAATCCATGACTCATGCCAAATAGGGTTTAGGCAGATAAAATGCCTTTGGAGAGGGAAGAGGCTCTGAAGAGTCATTTCCTGTAACTTCTGGCTGCAGCTCATCCACAAAGAGGAGCAGAGAAGAAAGCTGGGAGCAGGTAAGTTACAAGAGGCCAAGGAGGTTTTGTGAGTAGACCTCAGAGAGGAAGGAAGCTCTGGAGACAGAGAGGGAGGCAGGCAGAGAGGGAGGGAGGCAGGCAGGCAAGCAGAGAGGGAGGGAGGCAGACAGGCAAGAAAGCAAAGAGGGAGGGAGGGAGGCAAGCAAGCAAAGAGGGAGGGAGGGAGGGAGGCAGGCGGAGATGGAGAGAGGGAGGCAGGCAAGGAAGCAAAGAGG